GGAGGGAGGGAGGTCTTTTGTCTGTTTATTAAATTACTGTAAATGTAGAGATGGATAATTACCGGTTTCAGATCTAGAAATAATTTCATTTAGGAGACAGACAATCTTATAAATGAAAACAACTAAATGGTATAGATTTAATCCCTCCCCAGTCTCCCCAATTCCCGAAGCCTCCACAATCCTTAAATTCCCAATTCCCAAAAGGCCGGTAACGCACTTGAAACGCCTCGGTGTTTCAGGTGTCCATGGGCGGCAACGATTGCTTACCATCAGGTGATCCGTCTGCTCGTTTACCGGATAAAACCATAAAAAAAATGTGCCAAATCTCACTCAGTTCTTATTATCCTTACTAATATTATAAATCGGAAAGTGAGTTTGTTTGTTTGTTCCGCTTTCACGCCGTAACTACTAAACCGATTGCTTTGAATTTTTGCAGACGGAAAGTTAGAAGTCTGGATTAAATAATAGGGTACTTTTTGTCCCGAAAAAAATGATATTCTCGAGGGAAAACGAAATTATTGGTATAGATGGCGCTGTGTGTATTAGTATATGTCATATAGGATACTTTTTATCCTTTTGTGACGCGAGCAAAGCCGCGGGTAAAAGCTAGTAATAAAAAAATACAGAAACAGCCATATTTTGGCTCATATAATTAATGTCACAATTTCTAATAATTATTAAAAAAAAAACAAAATATAAAATAGTCAAACATATTGTATAGTACTTATTATTTATATTAATGGGTAATGTTATGCTCAACAGGAGGAAGAAGGTACTTGGGGCGAGAGTTTCAAATCCCACCACGACAGCAAGCCTCGTGGTAACGAAGCCGTGTCTCTGGACTTCAGCTTCCCAGACGCTGACAATGTTTATGGTGAGTTGAAAATGGAAAATAATAATGGTTCCGAAAAATAATTAAACTCCAGCGATCTGGCCAACTATAAAAATGGATCTTCGAATAACAAAACTAAACTTCCGAATAGAATATTGAACCTCCGACAAAATCACTAAGTTACCGACAACAGACGTTTTAGGTTAGGTTAGGTTAGTATTGTTTTTTATTCTTCTTTATCAGACGTGTTATAAACAGTCATATAAAGTAGTCGGAAAGTTAGTATTTTAGACAGTAGATTTAATATTTTCAGTAAGGACAATTCTTCTTTTCTTGTCGGAGCTTTTATTACTACCCGTTGAAAATATTGACTTCATGTTTTAAATATCTTCACACACGAGAACAGAGGACATACAAATGCCATTAAAGGTTGGCTGGTGTTGCGTGTGTCCATGGGCGGCGATTGTTTACCATCAGGTGATTAATCTGGTCGTTTACCGCCCAATCGTACGAAAAGACATGTTATACAAGGTGTAAACAAAACCCTTTCTAAAAAACGAGGTTTATTTTCATAAAAATAAGGAATAAAATGTTTCTTTTATGTAATAATAGTTGTAATCAACTGCTCAAGGCTAATGTTGCATGAATAACAAGAAAACAAAAACTATTAACTCGTCGAGTACCGGTTTTGCAGACACAATTATAGAACAATAGGTTGCGGTCACCGGTGACCGCTTGGTGTTTGACAGTTTAATTAAATGAACTATAAAATTGTATAAACCAAAATTCGTTCCGTTTACAACTTGTATATAATGTTAAAATATCATACCCTTGAGGTTTAGTTATTGTCTTTCCAAACTAAATATATAGATAGATAGAAACATCATTTCATCTATTTTATCAGAAACATGTAGAAATAGAAAATAACCTCTTGACTTTGGACTATTGTAAGCTTTATTGGAATCGGCCAACGTGGCAAGGGTTGAGGCGTCATGCACACATAAATGATCTACAGCCGGTGGCGCTGTGTGTTGGGTTGTTCCGTTCCCAATAAAAAGGTTGACCGGACCAATTGCTGACACACACGTCATACTCGTGAACGGGCCTTCTGCTGGGTCAGGTCGGCTCTCTCATCTTGTTGGTGGGCTGATTTCATGAAGCCTTATAAGTAGATAATGCCTAATTATTGTGTAATTTATACTTTTGGTAATAATTATAGATGTAGTTAATTGTAGTGTGTAACTAGGTACCCTTTTTATTTTATAAAAATTGACTAGATGTATTATAATAAAAAAAAAATTATATGACAAGGGCACGGACCTAGAGTCCGTGGAGAATTAATCTGTAATATTATAAAAAAATACATCATTTTAAATACCATTTTTCCTTCACCAGGTATTCCGGAGCATACGGATAAATTCGCCCTCAAGACAACGACCTCTGGCGAGCCCTACCGTCTGTTCAACTTGGACGTGTTCGAGTATGAACTGGACAGTCGCATGGCTATCTATGGAGCCGTTCCTGTATTGTATTCTCATGGGTAAGTTGTATATTGTAATAAATGATTTTTAGGATATTTATACTTATTTCTTTGTAGTATGAAAAGAGGCGTTTGTCCTGAGACAGTTCAAGCAGATAAAGAAACTATATTTGTGCAATAACCTACGAAAATCCATTATGTCAGCTATGTTTGAACTATGAGTATAAATATAAGTGTATGCCATAAGCTTTACGCTGGTCAGACAGGTTGGAGATCGGTTTAAAAGGTTTAGGTTTATCAGAGCGGTCTTGAATGGTCTCTATCAAGCCATCCATGGTCAACCCGTTTAACACATTCAATGTGCTTATTCGTACCTTTGCGCAAACCGACTTACTTGCGCAAAAAACGTAGCGCATCACCCTTTTTTTGCGCAACCATTAAAAATTCTCCTCTTTTCAGCCCGAAGCACAGCGCAGGTGTGTTCTGGCACAACTCAGCTGAGACATGGGTGGACATTGTCAACTATGCGGACAGTACCGTGGTCTCCTCGCTCGTTAACCTTGTCACTGGGGGACAGAAGCGCCGTGTTGATGCCAGGTACGTGAAAAAGAAATTAAATATTTTATTCATTTCAATATAACTTTTAAGTGCCTACATAAGATGAATAATAATTAGACAGGAAACTCTGAAAGTACTTACTATGAAGGCTAAGGCTACACTTCAGGATATGCGTAACCAGTATAAACTGATCGTTGAGTGCGCGGAAAGTTGATTCAATGCGAGATCGAGAAAACTGGATTTTTATAAAATATGATGATGTACTGGGCTCATGACTGGCAGGTCGTGGCTATTGGCCTAAGGGTGTTATAAATCATTAACACTAAAAAGGCCGCCGTCCTAATTTTGTCCCATTGCAAGTTTGGTAGATCATATGTTTTTTATTTCTTTCTTGTATTTTATTAATTATTATTGTTGTTTTTAGTTGGAAAAATAATATAAAAAAATAAAATAATGATTTACATAGAATTGCCGCTGGTTCATTTCGGTTCTCCGCCTTTCTAGTGTTAACCGACAAGATTCTAGTCGACTTACGGTCCGAAATAATCCAAAAATCTTCGAATTAAGGTCGATTTTTGAAAGTAACTCCATACAAATAATATCAAAATTAGACCCGTATAAACAGATTCCAGCCATTTAGTACTATGCCTACAAATCTTTTGAAATTGATCGTAACATGAATTGCAGCTTTCGGCACATGAAGATTACATTCCCTAAAAGAAACTTTATATCGTGTTTTAGATTTTTTTTAATAAAAATTGAATTTAATTAGCTTAGAATTTAAATGTATACATATACATAAATATATACAACTTAAAATAGAAAAAATATTTACACTTTAACAAAGAAAAATGTTTTAGATAGAATTTTTTAAGTGGTAGTAAGTGCAATTACCTAAACAGGAATAGGTAGATAGAGTTCTAGGTTAATGAAATAATGATTTATTATGATTATCCATTTAAAAAATTATCACCGTGTGTAATAGGCTTGAAAAAGTGTAGATTTTTAGTTTTATTTGTTATTCATTTACGAAATTATCAACGTATGGACAATAGGCGGGTAAAGAATTAAACGATTTATTAGTTTTATTACCGTTTGTTGTTTTATTTCAGGTTCATAAGTGAATCGGGCATAGTGGACGTGTTCGTGTTCCTGGGAGAAAAGCCATCAGACGTGTTCCGTCAGTACGTCATGTTGACTGGACCAGCGCCATTGCCTCCTGTACGTAACTATTATTATTTTATAGCATGAATGATGATTGCCCATTAAGGTAATGTGAGCTGTATTTGGTGCTAGTTAATGTAGTTTTTTGGATTTTCCGAAATTTAATATCCAAAAATCTCAACAGATTTTTGGATATTATTCGGACATCATTATATCCGCCACAAGACTTCTGCTGAACATAGGTCTCCTCTAATGATCTTAAGATCGTCCAATTCTGACATTCATGGTGAACTTTCTTGCTTTACCAAATTGTTGCCGCTACTTTTGAATATTGCCAATATCAAACTACAGAACACACAATCTCAATGTCAATGCAATTACAATCCAATAAAATCTCAATATAATCCAATGTCAAAACTATACAACCCCTATCGTAGCTGCTAAAGTAGCATTTAGAGTACGGAATATAAAACCAAACTCAATACCATTTAGTTCATTCAATATCCACGCAATACGGATTCAATAGGAGCTAGTGTCTAGTACTCAAGAGTACGAAATTTCACAATGTCAATGTTGATCGATCGGAATTGGATTCAAGAGTAAGCCCCCTGAACAGAGGTCTCTCTAAACTATCGATGAGCTAACCGCGATACCGAAGCCACATGGCAAAGCAGTTAATGATGATGGATTAAACAAGCCTTCCTTCCTCCTTATTGGAAATATTAATCTACAGTGTACTGCCCACCCTCTATGCCTTAATATAACATCACGCCTTTTTATCCCCGAAGGGGTAGGCAGAGGTGCACATTTCGGCACATAATGCCACTGTACAATGTAACACCCACTTTTCACTATTTATGTTATAAGTCCCATGTAATAGGGGGTGAGCCTAGTCCCATATATCGGGCACATTTCCAGACACCGTGCTACCACTGAGATTTTTAAAAAACCCAGTAATACTTTACCCGACCCGGGAATCGAACCCGAGACCCCTTGCCCGGCATTCGCACTAACGACCACTCGGCCAACGAGGCAGTCATGCCTAAACAAATTCCAAATAACATTACATTACACTAACAAAATATTTTGTCCCCAGAAATTTTCTTTAGCGTACCACCAATGCCGTTGGAACTACGTGGACGAGGCGGACGTCAGGTCCGTCGACAATGGGTTCGATGAACATGACATACCTGCCGACGTCATCTGGCTAGACATCGAGTACACTGACAGGAAGAAGTTAGTACACCTTCTAATATATCTGTATATATCATATCTGTCTTTGTGTTTCATCTTAGGAGGCTGGCGTTAGGCGAATGGATTGAGAGCCTAATACAGAAGGCAGTTCTCTTAGAAACGGCACGTATCGTGAGGCGGTTAACCACCGGTAGCTTGGACCATGCTCCCGCTACTCGCGGACTACTCACTCAAAATTGTGTTTAAAAATATATTTCTAAAGAATTTTAAATAAATATATGGAATATTTTGTGTGTCTTATGTATGGAACTTGTATGTTTCCAAACGCACCCACGACATGGGGGAATTATATATTTTTTTACTTTTCCCTACACTAAGATTTTCTCCTGTCTCGTGGGTGCGTTTACAAATATACCTACAAGTTCACATACACATGACACCCAGACCCGGAACAACGATCTGTGGTTCACACAAAGAGTTGTTCCGTGCGGGAATCGAACCCGCGACACGTTGCGCGGCAGTGAGTTGCCCAACCACCGCGCCAACCGTGCAGTCGAAAAAAATAGTAATAGTATAGTAATTTCTTACTTACATATGCTAGGTAACACAAAGTAAGTCTAAATTGTCATATTTTTCATGGTTTTTAGCCTCTTGTCATACCTTACCTTCTTTGACACTTTCTTTACGTTCAGTGTTTAAACGGAAAACTGTAATTTCGAAATAGGATTAACAAAAACCTAGTCAATACTCCATTTTCTTAGTAAATAGTATTTTTTTAAACTAAAAATCAGCATCATTATCATCATATCCGCCACAGGACGTCCACTGCTGAACATAGGCCTCCAGACAGACGACCTCATTAAGGTCGCAGGGAACCGCTGGATGCAGGTCGCTTCCAACCGGCCTATCTGAAAGTCATTGGGGGAGGCGTATGTTCAGCTAAAAATAATAATCATCATTTAAATAAAATAAATACTTCATCCCCTCCTCAGGTACTTCACATGGGACCCCCTAAAGTTCCCGAACCCCGCAGAGATGATCGCGAACCTGACATCCAAGGGTCGGAAACTGGTCACCATCATAGACCCCCACGTCAAGAGAGAGGCAGGTTACTTCCTTCATGAAGACGCTACTGAACTTGGATACTATGTTAAGGATAAAGATGGAAAGGATTATGAAGGTATGTTTTATTATTATTATGTGTGTCTTTACCATTCACGGGATCGCAAGGAGGTCAATTGGGAGGCGTACGAGGGGCCAAAGCCAGATACCTTTTAGGCAACGTTTATCTATATGTAATGGACTCCCTGTATTAATGTAATCCCTGTATATTATTATTTTTTATTGAATAAGCCGGTAAACTTGCCGACGGATCAACTGATGGTAAGCAATAGGCAATTTGTTACAAGTGCGTTACCGGCCTTTTACGGATTAGGAATTTGAGAATTGTTGGGGATTCGGCGATTGGGGAGATTGAGTAAGGAAACAAAGCAAGTGTTTCACTATGGTTTACTTCTCGTTGGTGGCATGACTCCGGTGGAGCCGGCCTAGCAGTGCCGAAGCTTGGCTCTCCCACACTACCACCACACTTATTACGTCGTAACATAACATCACGCCTTTATCCCCGAAGGGGTAGACGGAGCTTTTTTTTTTTTTTTTTTATGCCATAAGCCGGTAAACGAGCAGACGGATCACCTGATGGTAAGCAATCGGCGTCGCCCATGGACAACTAGAACACCAGAGGCGTTACAAGTGCGTCACCGGCTTTTTGGGGATTAGGAGTTTGAGGATCGTTGGGGATTCAGGGATTGGGGAAATTGGGGAAGGGGAAGGTAATTGGGCCTCCGGTAACCTCACTCACACGACGAAACACAATGCAAGCGTTGCTTCACGTCGGTTTTCTGTGAGGCCGTGGTATCACTCCGGTCGAGCCGGCCCATTCGTGCCGAAGCATGGCTCTCCCACACTTCAGGAGGTGTACATTATGCCACAGTACAATGCCACTTTTCACTATTTATGTTTGTGAGTCCCATGTAATAAGGGTTGACCCTATTGCCATATACTGGGCACAATTCCAGACTCCGTGCTACCACTGAGAATTTTTGAAAACCCAGTAATACTTTGCCCGACCCAGGAATCTAACCCGAGACCCCTTGCCCGGCAGTCGCACTTGCGACCACAACGTCGTAACTCGTGTTTACTAAGATTCATTTTCTCCAATCAGTTACCCTTTCCCAGTAGTTTCCCCAATCACCCAATAATTATTTTTATTCTACCCAGGTTGGTGTTGGCCTGGTTCCTCGTCATACCTCGATTTCTTCAACCCGGTTGTAAGCAAGTATTACTCGGAGAGGTATTCGTTCGAGAACTTCCCTGGGACCAGCAAGGATGTACACATTTGGAATGATATGAACGAACCCAGTGTGAGTCACTTTACAATAATAATTTTGTAGTCTATTTTAGTAGTCGGGATTCAAACTTGATGATTCTTGCTCGGCATTGATGACTTATTTATTTAATTAATTGGACAACGAATTCACTTTTGCGTAAGAATACTTGAAATGTGTTCTACCGAAGTTTCAGTAGATTCTAGAGTCCAATTTTTGGAAAATAATGAGCACAAAATACATTGTTAATCTTGTAACTCTTTCAGTCACACATTTAAGTGGTTAAGAATATATTTTATTTAATTATTTATTTATTTATTTAAGGACAACCAACAAAGCGTACACCAAAATACACGATAGGTTTTTAACATAATATTTTAACACTCTATAGTGTAGCCTTAATTAAAGGCTGCCACGACATGCATTATACTGAAATGCTTAAAAACCTAAAGCAAAAAATTAAGAAACTTAAAAAAAATAATTTCTAAAAAAAGGTACAGTAACCACATAGACTGAGGGAGTTAAATTTTATTATTGACTTACTGACAGACTATTATTTATTTTGCATTTGTTGTGTAAAAGTACCAAAATATGGTTTAATTGAAATAAATGCTTGGACTTTGACTTTATTCTTAATATTGCATACACAACTTGTATTATCTAGATATTGCGACAATCACGCATAACAATAAAACTCTATATAAAAATACATCACGCCTCTCACCCAGGGGGGTAAGCAGAGACTATGGAACGCCAATTGCTACGATTCTTACATATAATAAATATGTAATCGCATGCGCAGGTATTCAACGGTCCAGAGATCACGATGCCGAAGGACTGTCGCCATTACAAGCCGCCCCAGGACGGGAACGACGGACTCGCTGCCTACTGGGAACACAGGTCAGCTAGAACTGTTTAGTGATTTCTAACTTATGACGGCACGGTTGATGCGGTGGCGCGCAACGTGTCGCGGGTTCGGTTCCCGCACGGAGCAACTCTTTGTGTGATCCACAGTTTGTTGTTTCGAGTCTGAGAATCATGTGTTTATGAACTTGTATGTTTGTAAACGCACCCACGATATAGGAGAAAATCCTAGAGTGGAGCAACATTAATTAAAAAAAATTATATTACCGATCGAAAATCGTTAGATTGAGATGAATTTTTGACATCAATTCTATAAAGTTCAGTTATTAATAAAATCTGCAGTTAGAAGAGTATAATTTAAAGTCTGATCTACGCCAAAAATAATAAATTGAAATAAATAAGTTCTGATCTATTGGAAAAAATCCATTCCAATCGTTAACAAAGGAGTTTTGGCAGGTCTTTGTCAATGAGTTTACTTAAAATATAATAAAGGTTAAGATTTTAAATGGTGTTCTGCGAATTGCTGTTATCTTAAATCTAAACCTTAAGATGGTGGCAATAACAAGATGTATTCTCCAGACACGTGCACAACGAGTATGGTCTGTGGAACATCCGCGCGACCCACGAGGGCATGTTGCAGCGCGCTGACAGCAAGTACAGGCCCTTCATACTCACTCGCTCCGCCTTCGCTGGTACTCAGAGGTAAATATTAATTATATTATCTTAAAACTAGCTACATCCGCGCGGTTTCACACGCTCTGCTCCGCTCCTAATGGTCGTAGCGTGATGTTTTATAGCCTATAGCCATCCTCGATAAATGCGCTAACCAACACAAAAAGAATTATTCAAATCAGACTTGTAGTTACGGAGATTAGCGCGTTCAAACAAACAAAAATACAAACTCTTCCGCTTTATATAATGGTATAAGATATGGTATATGCCAACTAGTCAAATTCAATACTTTTTTCGAACTGTCAAAAACGACAGTTTTCTATGAATTTTGTACGAGATTGTGAATTGTGACGTCACGTTTTTTTATTCATTTAGATAATAATAAAATTTTAGACACGTATGTTTGTATTTGCTCGTACTTTATAATTATGATCGTAGAAGGTTATGTAGGCTGTAAATAATGTTTATTTAATTTAGCTTATCTTTTTTATACATTTTTAAATTATGTTTATTATTTATCAAATTTATTAGTTATCCTATACTTATAGTTTATTATTTATTTTTTTACATTTATAATTTATTTATCTTACACTATATTATTTATATAAAGCTGAAGAGCTATTTGTTTGGTTATTTGAATGCGCTGATCTTCGGAATTCCTTAGTTCATTTTTCGAGGGAGACCGATTGTCCGATTATGAAAAATTCATAACATTAAATTTGTTCATACAAAAGTAGTCTCTAAACATCGGAAATAAGGTCTATAATGGTGTAAGTGGAGAGCGGTCACCGGTGATCGCTTGGATCTTGACCTGAGAAAACATCGGACTATGATCAATAGGAGCCAAGCATTGGCTTAAACTGCGGGAGAGTAGCTAGTATAGTTATACAACGCAAAACAATTAAACAAAGAAGTAAAGGGCTAAAAAGGCTTTCTTTTAATTTAAGTTTAAGAACAAATGAAAAAATAATAAATCCGACACTCTCTCGTCTTTTCCTCAAGAAGCTGGACGCCTTTTGAAGCTTTACTACCGTCGTCCGTCGCGTCGTCAACAAAATATGGTCCGTAATAAATAATAAAATGTATTCTGTAAATGCGAGCTAAATACGAGATGAATTATAGGGTATGAAAATTAAAAATCTTTTGTCCATCAGTTAGGTAGTAAATAGTTAGGTAAAAATATTAATTAGACACATTTTTGTCGCATAAAAAACAATACTTTGATAAAACGAATCAAAGTTTAGGAGGCATTTCTACGTATAAAACGTACCTAGAAATGACGTTAATTATTTTGTTTGCATATTGATTTATTTAGTATGTCTCACGATGGTTATAATATAAACATAAAAATGACGTCACGCGATATTTCAAATCATCGAAAGTATTGGTTCAGTAAGAAAATTATAAAAACTCGTTTTAATTTTAAAATAACCTACCAGACGATCATTGAACGGGGTGGTTTTTAGTCAGTAAGAGTCTAACACTCCTCCTCGCCTCACCTGGGCGGGAGAAGTCATTCGATGATTTTCGACCATAAAAAAACGAACATTGAAGTAAAATTGAAATGTACCCTATCCCCCCCTAGATACGCGGCAGTATGGACTGGCGACAACATGGCGGAGTGGGGCTTCCTGGCAGTGAGTGTACCGATGTGCCTGTCTCTGGCCTCGGCCGGTATCAGCTTCTGCGGCTCCGATGTAGGAGGGTTCTTCAAATATCCTGAGGCTGAGCTCATGACGAGGTGGTATCAGGTATGTGGTGCCATCTGTTTATTTTTATTTTATTTAAGCTTCATGCACAAAGTGTACGTACATGAGGTGGACTTAATGCCGCAGGCATTTTCTCCCAGTCTGACCTTTGGGTGATGCAGAGAAGAGTTAATGGTGTGAGCAAGAAGCAAGCAACGAATTAATTGAGCAATTAAAATAGATACACTTACATATTTCAGAGATAAACAAACAGAAGGGTAAATTTTATGTTGACGTTGAAAAGTGCCTTCCTAGTGTAATTTAAATAAATGATTTTGACTATGACTAAAACAAATTCACTTTAAAGCATAATAATATAAATGGGACTTCTGCTGCCGTGCAGCGTGTCGCGGGTTCGATTCCCGCACGGAACAACACTTTGTGTGATCCACAAATTGTTGTTCCGGGTCTGGGTGTCATGTGTATGTGAACTTGTATGTTTGTAAACGCACCCACGACACAGGAGAAAATCCTAGTGTAGGGCTAGGGATAGTGTAGGGATAAACATTTTTAGTTTTTGACTTTTTAAAGGTGTTTCCATGTAAATGCTTAGATGTACCGTTGTGATTACAGGCGGGAGCCTTCCAGCCCTTCTTCCGCGCGCACTCCCACATCGAGACCAAGCGGCGCGAGCCCTGGCTCTACGACCCCGCCACCACCGCGCTACTGCGGGACGCCAACCGGAGGAGATACGCGCTCATTGACTTCTGGTCGGTACATGCAATACTACCTTACTATATACTCCCACATCGAGACCAAGCGGCGCGAGCCCTGGCTCTACGACCCCGCCACCACCGCGCTACTGCGGGACGCCAACCGGAGGAGATACGCGCTCATTGACTTCTGGTCGGTACATGCAATACTACCTTACTATATACTCCCACATCGAGACCAAGCGGCGCGAGCCCTGGCTCTACGACCCCGCCACCACCGCGCTACTGCGGGACGCCAACCGGAGGAGATACGCGCTCATTGACTTCTGGTCGGTACATGCATTGCTAGGTAGCATAGTAAGGTTACTATATACTTCCACAACGAGTTGAGTTTTTTCTAAATTCTCAGTAGTAACACGGAGTCTGGAATTGTGCCCGGTATATGGCAGTAGGCTCACCCCCTATTACATGGGACTCGTAACATAAAAGTGGATGTAACTTTGTACAGTGGTATAATATGCACCTCTGGTTAACTGGTTTCGTTGAGAAGTTGAGAACTTTGTTTTGCCTTGAAAAATTTTCTTCGCATCCTTGTTATTTTATCTTACATGCGACCTTGAGAGTTCTACTAACAATCACAAATTTAACAAGAAAAGAATTAGTGAAATCGGTTCAAGTGTTCTCTGGATTTTTGCTTAGCCACACATTTTTATTGCAACGATTCATTTTTATACAGAGTTCAAACGAAACGCTCCAAAAAAAAGCCGACAGGTGATGGTAAAAAACAACAAGTTTTATTCTTATAAAAATAGAATTAAATGTTTCTTTCATGTAATAATATGTAGTTGTAATCAACCGCTCAAGGCTGATGTTGCATGAATAACGCGAAAACAAAAACTATTGAACTTGTATAAACAATTTCTTTTTGCCAGCATTTCGGGAGCATTAACACACTATATTTGTGAATTAATTATTATGTTTTCGGCTTACTCACGTTGTAATTCGACGAGGAACTCGACTAGTTGCAACCCATGCTAGAGGCTATAGTTATAACAATTATAATGTTGTGTCCAGGTACACGTTGTTCTACGAGCACTCAGTGGACGGGCTGCCCGTGATGCGCGCGCTGTTCCAGGAGTACCCCAAGGAGGAGGACACATACACCATCGACGATCAGTACCTGCTCGGTAAGGAAATTGTACATCACTAGCTGTTCTCGCGTATTCGTCCGTGTGGAATAATCACTTTGGATAGTTCTTAACAGCTCCTCCCCCGAAGGTATAGGAAGTAGTGATAATATGTAGCATATATGTTGTCCCGGCCGGAGAACGTAAAGGGTTACCTGGGCTCCGGCTTGATGTGCAGGAGAAGGAACGGGGTGGTTTTTAATCAGTAAGAGTCTGACACTCCCTCCCGCCTCACCCAGGCGGGAGCAGTCATTCAATGATTTTTTCCCCTTAAAAAAGCCTATAAGTAATTACTCATGCAAAATTTGACGTAAATCCATGCAGTACTTTTTTAGTTTAGCCTAGACATACACACAGACAAATTCTACAAACTATATATTTTTAGCTTCGATATCGATTGTATCGATAGCAGATCACGTCCCAAGTACTCTTTAAAAAAAATATTCAATGTACAATTTTGAATTTCCTACGATTTTATTATTGTACTAGCTGACCCGTACGAACTTCGTACCGCCTAAAAGTTTTTTCTCACCTTTTAAACCTTCCCTAGACTTCCACGAACCTATCAAGACCAAAATTAGCTAAATCAGTTCAGCCGTTCTTGAGTTTTAGCGAGACTAACGAACAGAAATTCATTTTTATATATATAGATAGAATTAGATTAAACATATTCTACTTATTTTATTAATAATTAGGTACTTGCCTACTACGTTACTACGTCAAATTCAATATTTTTTCAAACTATCAAAAACGACAGTTTTCTATGAATTTTGTATGAGTTTGTGTCAATACACAATTTTATATCGATTGTTTTAATACTAGCAAACCAATACGAAATATTTAACTGCGAGAAAACCACGTAAAATGTTGAGAAAAATTTATTATTATGTTTTTACCTCAGGAAACAAACTCCTAGTCCGTCCAGTAGTGGAGCCAGGAGTGAGCAATGTGAAGGTGTACCTGCCCGGGTCCGCAACCCGCACCCTGTGGTACGACGTCGACACTTACCACGCATACCCGGCCAATGGATACCTAACCTTCGATGTTACGCTCTCTAAGGTACAGTTTGTATTATTGTTTATTTTGGTATTCTACTGCTGTAATATATGATTTAATTAGCTGTTGCCCGCGGCTTTGTCAGTGTAGAATATGATTTCTGTTTTATCTCATGGTAGTATTCAATCGGGATAAAACGTCTTATCACCTAAGACAGCCCATACCCTGCCTGTATAACAAATTTCACCAAAATCCGTGCAGTAGTTTCAGCGTGATTGACGGACTAACATACAAGCAATAAGAGATAATATGACTAAATAAAACAAACAATAAAAGAGTTAGAATGACTGCCTCGTTGGCCGAGTGGTCGCAAGTACGATTGCCAAGGAGTCTCGGGTTCGATTCCCGGGTCGGGCAAAGTATTACAAGGCTTTTTTAAAAAGAACTCAGTAGTATAGTGCCCGGTATATGGTAATAGGCTCACCCCCTATTACATGGGACTCATAACATAAATAGTGAAAAGTGGGTGTTACATTGTACAGTGGTATAATGTGCACCTCTGACTACCTTCGGGGATAAAAAGGCGTGATGTTATGTGATGTTCTTGTATTGACCCCCCCCCCCAGGTGCCAGTGTTCCAGCGGGGCGGCGGTATAGTCCTGCGCAAGGAGCGCGTGCGTCGCTCGTCCGCGCTGATGGCCGACGACCCCTACACCATCGTCGTCGCACTCGATGCCAATGTAAGTTTTGTCTGTTGTCTTGAAACACTTATTGTTAACGCTTATAGTTCAGTAACATTTGCTGTAGCAAAAATTCAAGATATGTAAGGATTTTTTTATTCTTTATTTATTTATAGGACTTTTATTCTGAAGATTTTTCAGTAGGTTTTTGGGTAATAGCATGGAGTCTGTAATGGTGGGGCTACATTAGCGAGCTACGGCGATGTATTCGCGCGTACACGACGTAGCATCTGGGCACTGTCGCTATATTGGTTTCAAACGACTTGTCGTGAAAATATTTGCTGGAATGACCTACATCACTTCACTGTTGTGATGTCGTCCATACTTTGAAGCGAGACTGACGTTCTTATGTTTTTGTTCACTATGGACCACTCCATAACAAAAACTGCTTCCTAAATCGTTTCGACAGTACAACTAAACCTAATATTCACCGTCGGAGAACCTAACGGGTTACCGGGGCTCCGGCTCGAAGTGCAGTAGTAGTAACGGGGTGGTTTTTAGTCAGTAAGAGTCTGACACTCCCTCCCGCCTCACCCAGGCGGGAGCAGTCATTGGATGATTTTCCCCCCTTAAAAAGGACAACATTCTGCATCTTCGCCCGCCAATGTAGACGAGAACATCGGGTATGTCCGACGAATGATGTTTTGCTCGCCAATGCGATACTAATCTTCAGCCCCAGCATAATAGAGTATGATGTAGAATGATACGGACAACCATATTATGTGACATGTAAGTTTTGACTGTATGTAATAGGGATGATGACATGGTATGAAAAAAAAAACCAATTAGTCCGTCAGTTAGGTAATGAAAAATATTAGACATGTAATTTTTTGTTTGTCGTATAAGAAAACAATTCTTAGATAAAACGAATCAAAGTTTAAACTGTCTTACACCAGGCGGTCACCGGTGACCGCAATCTATTGTTCTATAATTGTGTCTATAATGACGGTACTCGACGAGTTAAGAGTTGGTAGCTACGTCATTTTAGAGTATAAATCGTACTCAAAAGTGACGTTATGCGATATTTCGATTCAATATATCATCCAAAGTATATGTTTCTGTAAGAAAATAAAAAATACGTGTCTAATGATTTAAAATAATCTACCAGACGGATATTAAAATAATAATTAGTCATATACCCTATTGTATATGTTTGTATGCAGGGTACGTCAGAAGGCTCGCTGTACATTGACGACGGTGAGACGTACGAGTACAGGAACAACAAGTACATCTATGCCAAACTGGCGTACGAGCCCAGCGCTATGACTTATTCGTGAGTATTGTGTTAATTAACCGAAATGTCAGGAAGGAGGGTCTAAATATTGTTTAAGACAAATCTTGATGAGTTCATTCTCTTCAATAGTTACTCAGTGATGGACTTTCTGAAAAGGCTCATCTACTTAGGGTATATTTTCTTAGGTTTTTATTGTTTTCTGCTTTAAAAATGTAATCAGTATTGTTGCAGCCGTTTCAGAGAATATGATTACAAATATTGTTTGTTTTTTAGTTTTATATTCTAAGGTATACTGCCTCATTGGCTGAGTGGTCGCAAGTGCGACTGCCGGGCAAGGGGTCTCGGGTTCGATTCCCCGTTCGGGCAAAGTATTACTGGGTTTGTAAAAACTTCAGTATTAGCACGGAGTCTGGAAATTTGCCCTATTACATGAGACTCATAACATAAATAGTGAAAACGTTTGTGTTACATTCTACTGTGGCATAATGTGCACCTCTGCTTACCCCTTCGGGGATAAAAGGCATAATGTTACGTTATGACGATTTGATGTTATGTTAGTCTTAAGGTAATAATAATAGCAGCTAACACCACCAGTTTTAGAACTGAGTATTGTCCAAATACTCAAACGCCACTTTATTTTGTGTGTTGTGTGTATGTTTCTGTTGATGTATCAAATTCTTCAGTACTATAGTTCCTACAATGTTTTATATCAATATATATGTATCTCTATCTATGTTTTGCAATTAAGGTAATATAATTACTTGTTTAATAAATGTACTTTTACGATAATATTAATATTTAGTTACCTATCATGATATGTAGTTATGTACGTGTGTATGTATGTATGTATATTAAATAATCAACTTTACTTAAATTCTGATCGATTACTTATGTTAAGGAATTTGTTTATATAAATAACTTGTCCTAGAATTAGTAATATTGTGAGTGCTCCTTTCGCCTGTGATACAGGATATTCTTCCTAGTACAGGCATTCAAACCTAGTGAGATCTCTGATTTTAAATTAAGATGTTTATCTGTACTATGACCAATTTCTTATAATGAATAAAGATTTATTATTATTATTATTTATTTTAAGTCGTGCTTACTGTCTTTTCTGTTCTGTCAGGACAAATTCTTTTAAAATGACAGAGATGGCATGATATTCAAGTACAACTGAAAATTGAGTAGCCTTTCAGTATTCGATAGTATAGAGTATGAGTACTTACTGTTAAGGGAACGTTTTGTTATGACTCTTCGTTTTTTGGTGTTAGGTTAAACCCTAATTTCAAATTGGACTGTAAAATTTCTCACTATATCCAATTTAAATCACAATAACAATTCTAATTTCTCCCCAACAGCTTCGTAAACGATAAAGCGAGCTACCCAACCCGATCCTGGGTGGAGCGCATAGTCATCGCCGGTATTAAGAACCCTCCTAAGACCGCCAAGCTGGTCCAAGGGGAGAAGCAGACATCTCTACAGATGACGCTGCACAAAGGGAACGACGTGCTCGTGGTCCGCAAGCCGGCCGCCAGTATGGCGCAACCTTGGAAAATCATCTTTAGCTATTAAGATTTTAGGTAGAAAATGGGTTGTTACTGCTAACCGGCTCGGTAAGATACGTATGTATTGATATTTCGCTAATAATATAATAGAAATCAGATTAGTCGGTTTTCAATCTTATTGCCTTTGCTATAAAGTCTATAGTAGTTTGATGTAGATGTTTGTAGTTCTGTGTAATAGATTTTGAACCTTACCGTCTTTGGTGTGAAATCGAATGTCTCTTGTGGTTTCGCCGTTGATTCAAATTCTTCCACTACCATAGAACTATCCATCACAAAAAGATTTATTCAAACCTTCAAAGAAAGAGCGAATTTCTTTTTACGTGTTGCGGGTGTCCATAGGCGACGTTGATCGCTTACTATCAGGTGATCCGTCCGCTCGTTTGCCTCCTATTCCATTTAAAAAGTAGAAATTTTTAATAGCTTTGCTTCCTATTTAATAGAGCTTATAGTATCAATACTACATCAAAAACACTTAAAGATATAATACCACAAACAGATATACATATGACATTTTTAAATTACAACTATAGGTACTTTATTCTCTCGTTCTCTATAAAATATAGTCATAATAATGTCTAATCCGACGCCGGTAAGTTGTAACTGTAAAAAAAACTCAAAACAATAGGTTATTTATTTTTTCGAGTAAATAATTCGAGTGTAATGTACTACAACTATACTATGTATTAGTAAATTAATATTAGGACCTTGCCAGTCCTCTGTAATTACCCGACTGTATCAAAAGGAGGGCTATGTGTTTCAAGTGATATGTTTATAACATTTTCTCGTTGGTTACTTAGTTGAAATGTTATATTTTGACTGTATTTTGAACTACTTACTTCTGCGTAGGTTCACCAGCTCTGCTCGGCTCCTTTTGATCGTAGCGTTAAGTTTTGTAGCCTATAGCCTTCCTTGTTAAATGCACTATCTAACACAAAACGAATTTTTCAAATCGGCCCAGTAGTTCTTGAGGTTAGCGCGTTCATACAAACTCTTCAGTTTAATATAATAGTATAAGATTTCTGGATTGCTGCTTTTTTGTAGAATTTTAAAACATACTGCATCAACTGAATGTGCAATTCTGTATCTCATGGGCGTTTCTACCAACCACCCCTACAACTTGTCTTAACTAAAATTTACTTAACGGGACGTATGCCGGAATACTGAAACGCTACTCAATTTTAAGTGACGCTTAAGTATAGTTCCATCTCCACAAATTCTTTGTAAAATGACAGAGATGGCACGATATTTAAGCACGACTTAAAATTAAGTAACGTTTCAGTATTCCGGCAGTAGGCAGCAGTAGTTCTAAACTAACGTCTTAGGCTCTTGACAGACGGAGCGCATTTCAACTGTAAACCAACGCAAATTGCAGTTTGGTCATGACTGCAATAGAACTGCAATCAGACACACGTTCAATTGCAGTCGTGTCAACAGCGTTCAAACTGAATCTGAACTGCAATTTGCAGTCTGATTGCAGTTGAAATACGGTTCGTCTGTTTGTCACTTATAGGTCGGTGAAAACCAAAATATCAGTAAATGTCTCCTTTCTTTGCTAAGGGGTTCCTTTAAATTTAGGGGTGGTTGTTGAAAACGTGCATTATTCTGTTAAAAGTTTAAACTGATGATTTTTAAATACAGTCAAAATTTAATAAAATTGTATCATTAAGACACTGTTTTAAGGAATAGAATGAACTGTGATTGTCGTTTACGTACTCAAAATAAAAGTACGTAAATAAAAATTGGTAATTAAATTAATTAATGTATGAAGAAACAGTGTCGAAGTGAATACAACTCTATTAGGAAGCAGTAAGGACTAGATTTCAGTGTAGGAACTCAGTGATCAGTCATTCTTGACAGTTACACAAACTCTAAATTGACAACTGGTATTTATCAAATCGATGAGTAAATTGAAACCTTCACGTAGGTGAAATACGATGTAATTTCGTTTGTATACATATTGCTACGAAAACGTTAACCTTATTTCTTTAGAGATTCTTCAAACAGAAAGATGATCAGTTTTTGAAAATAAAAAGTCCTATATCGTGGGTGCATTTACAAACATACAACAAGTCCACGTACACGTGACACCCAGACCCGAAACAATCTGTGGATCACACAAAGATTTGCTCCGTGTGGGAATCGACGCTAGACGTTGCGGGGCAGCCCTTTGCCGCGCAACGTGTAGCTGGTATCTTCGTCGTAGAAATTGTCAGTCCTTCGGGGGCCTCTGGGCACGGGCTCAGAGTGGCTTTACGGTACAGCCGGTACTGAGTATAATGATATAATTTCTTAGATTCTTTTCACCTTTAAATCCTAGTCACACAAACATACATTTTTGAAGATATTTCTATAATATGGAACGGTGTGTAGCATGTGTATTATATTCGAAAGACATATATAACGTTTGTGTAACGTAACTCCAAATAGTTGTAATCATTAGTACATCTAGCATATGATTATCGCTCCGTAAGATTATAAGTACCTAATTACGATTTTTTAATAAAATAATACAACTTAAATTGTATTTTACTCAGCATTAAAAATACTGGAAAGTATTTCTCTCTGTATTTTATTATCTAGAACAAAAAAATGTGTAATTTTTTTATAGTCTGTGACCAGTATGTATTATTCCATGTTGTAGATAAAAAATCAAATTGAACTATATGTATTGTCTGTGGTTTAATGAAAACTGTTTGCAAATCTGTAACGGGTAAGGTAATAAAGAATTTTATTGTATGTATGTGATAATAAAATACATTTTAATTAATTTTGTGGTTTTATTTATTTAGTAGCTTGTTGCCTGTGACTTTGTCCGCGTAGTATGAATTTTAGGTCTATAATTTTTAC